GATGGTTGGATGGTTGGATGGTTGGAATAAAAGAATGATGAAAATGAAAGAATAGAAGGATAGAAGGGTAGCATAATGGAATGATAGAATGCCGGATAGAATGACGAATGGATGGGGAAAGAAGAAAGAACGAAGGAATTGAGTAATAGGAAGAATAAAAGGAACGAAGTAAGAAATGAAAGGAATGAAGGAATGARGCAAGGAAAGGAGGAACAAAGGTCTTAAAGAATGAACAAGGTAGGGAAATAAGAAGAAAATAACTAAGGACTAAACTCACAAAGGCGAAGAAATATAGATAGTTTTGTCCCAGTCCTTTAAATATTTCATTTGACCGCGTAGATGAAGCGTCGGGGGAGGCTCGGCCTGAACGGGTGTTGATTGAGTGGGTGCTGAACTACTGCCACTTATCTTGGTGACTGATTGTGATTGGCTGGATTCTCCAATACCTCCGATGCTGGTGGAACGCGGAAAGGTTTTCAATGTGTTTAAGCTGCTTGTYTTTTGGAACATATTTTCTTTTCCTCTTTTTTGACGACGGATAACTGGAATTTTCGATAATAACTCGAAGACAACCTTTCTTGTAAGGAGCTGAATTTAAAAGAAAAAAATATWAGTCTTTAGAGTTCAAACACGATTCATGATTGAACAGTATACTGTATTAATAGATCGTTYTCGGCTATGCTTAAGTGCCCACCCAAACGATGGGTAGTGGAATGGAATACATAATGTCCGACCAACAAACTCGAATTGATAAGATTTTTTAGAATTTATCGTTTATCTTTTTTTATTGTACCTTTAGAATGCATTGATTCTAAGACAGACATTTATAATTGTCAATAATCGGTGTATGTTCCATGCTGTATTTCAAAAACGCATGTTAGCCTATCCTACGTAACAACAGTACTATTGTGGAGGTAGAACAATGAATGCTCGATCGGCGTACTAGTAATAATGCATGTGTACTAAATACAATTGTTGAGCAATATGTAGAAAACATAAAGAGATTACTGCAGCACAGGGGCGGATCCAGGATATTTTCTGGGAAGGGGTGCACCGTCCAGGATTTTCGCTTTTGATGGGGGTGCTTACGAACTCAAACACCAATAATGCAATATATATCAGCTCATCTAGGGGGTGGGGGGTTGCGCTCCCCTGCACCACTCCCCTAGATCCGTCCCTGCAGCACAGCTGCGCACCTCTAGCACCATTTTTTTCACGAATTTTCATTCATTACATAACAATAATTGGGGGGGGGGGGGGGGGGGGGGGGGGTATGAAAATACATCTCCTTACTTTTAATCGCTCCAGTGTTTAAACTAAAGGATCAAGACTTACAGAATTCCAGGTAAATTCCGTTTTCGGTCTTCTCAGAGTAAAAACCTCTCGAACATTTTTGCCCAAGACTTTTCTTCCAAGTGTCGAGATCAAGCCATTTCCCGCCATGCTGATGGTCATGTCGGTAGAGATGACAAAGCTGAAGGGAAATATTGTAAAGAACACATCGACAGTAATGCCCTTCTTTGGCGTGACGCAGAGCAAGTCTGGCGATGGTGGCTTATAACCGACATTGGCGAACCCAAGTCGATAGACAATGTGACATTGTGAGCCCTCCCTCTCGTCGCTAAGGACCTTGATATTTATGTCATACGTGTTGTAGAATTTTCGCGCGATTTCTTCGATCTGTCCAATCACGTAGAACATGAATCCCTTGCGCCTTGAAAGATAATGTAGGTTGAGACCTGAGCTGCTCTCTTCGTCACAGTAAAAAGTCGGGGACTGCATCTTTGGGTAGCCGAACCTCATATGCTCGTGCAGGTTGTCAATTCCAATCAAAAAATCCCGAAGATGGCGACCACTGACGCGAATGATCGGGTCGTAACCATAGTGATTAAAGAACTTGACAAAACAGACCCCGAAAAAACGCATGACGTCGTCAAGTAGCATGTCTTCTTCTTCACCGATGACTTTGATGACTCCATCGGCAAGTTTGAACAAGAGGTCTTCAGCGTAGAGTTTGTGTGTGACAAATACATAGTTGTTCAGGTCTGCAGCTTCTAGGATTTGTTGCCATACCTCTTTGCCGTACTTTTCGGTGACTTGAAAGTTGATACTTTCTAGCAATAGTCCGTACATGATTGKCGCTAAATGGATCCTACAAGTAAATGTATATATATATATCTTATTCACTATATCGCTACTGATTGGGCGAGAGCATTCAGCCAATCCCTGATATTGCGTGACTGAATTGATACTTTCTAGCAATAGTCCGTACATGATCGGCGCTAAATGGATCCTACAAGAAAAAAAAAAATATATATATATATATCTYATTCACTATATCGCTTCTGATTGGRCGAGAGCATTCAGCCAATCCCTGATATTGCGTGACTGAATTGATACTTTCTAGCAATAGTCCGTACATGATTGGCGCTAAATGGACCCTACAAGAAATTTTTTTAAATATATCTTATTCACTATATCGCTTCTGATTGGGCGAGAGCATTCAGCCAATCCCTGATATTGCGTGACTGAATTGACCATTTTTAAAAATCAATATTCGCGATGCTAGCACTTCGTTATATCAATAAAATTATCTGATCTATACAGCTGGCATAATGTGTAATCAATCCTGTAGGAACAAGTGATTTAATCTAATAAACAACCAAGTCTAACCACACCTCAATATACAGTGTACGCACTTACGGTGAGACTTGCAGTATATGTATTGGGGAGCTCGGCTTTGCTTAGCATTCCATCAACAATCAACCAAAGATTTCTTTTTCTAGGCTATCGAGAATGTTTTGTGCAATTTCAAATCGTGACCAGTTTGGCGTAGAAGTCTTTTTTTACTACAAGTTTTTGTCCATWAAGTTTGTGCGGTTTTGACTCTTTGAACTTGGATTTATTCTGGACTGAAATCTTGTTTTTAAAAGGTTTAAAAGGCCATTATCTTGATTGATTATCTTCAGAGAATTTTCACTTTTAAGAGCGCAAATGAGCTGCAAGTGTTCAAACTGTGTGACTGACGTCATGCAGCTAATTGACCAATCATATTCCATTGGTGGTCCACTTTTGACAACCTTTTTGCCAAGGTTGAATTATCAATTAAAGATCGTTTTCATGATGGTATAAAAAATAAGTGTGAAAATTATTAAGGCGGAAACTAACTGTCAACGGCTTGAGAAGATGTTCATAACCAGGAAGCGCTATTTGTGCTATCCAAAGAGTATTGTCTACACAAGCACGTCTGCTTAAGTTGAGATACGTTAGACGTTTTATTATTGGTGTTTTGTGAGTTGTTTCACGAATCAATGAATCTGTGAGGATTTTTGATTACTGAGAAAAAATGCTGCTTTTCTCTTTTTTACTTTTCTATTGTTTGTGGAATTCTTTGCCTTTCCTTTCCTTCCCTCGTGTTATTTTTGATTGGTTTCTCGTATAATCTCCTCTCTACTCGTATAATGCCCTTTCTTCTCGTATAAATCT